TCCTCCTTGGTCATTGAGGATGCTGAGAACAGAGAGATGGGGATTTGCCCAGGTGTTCTATGATGCTCGAGGTCCTCTGGGTGTCAGCCCCACTGATGACAGGGCTCCTACACTTTCCCCTGCATCCAGTGACCCAGCAGCCTGGGCCGCAGTGCACACACCTGTGATTCCTGCCCGACGCAGGAGATGCTGCCTGGGGAGGCCTCTCTCAGTAGCACCCTGACCCTCAGGTTTCAGCCCTCCAGCACCCTGACCCACTGATTAAGGGTCGGACGTCCACAGTGAACAGTGCCCTCCAGAATATGGAGCAGCCTGTAGGACTAGGGTGAGTAAGGAAAGAAACCAAGGGCGACCCGAGAACCACCCAGGTCTGATCTTTAGGGGTGCAAACTTTCAAATCTTCTGGCAATTTTGAGCCCACACTCCAGTTGCAGGGAGTCGCATGCGTGGCCACAGTCGGGTGATGGAAGTCACCTGGGGCCACCGTGCAGACAGAGGGTCTAGGCCCTCAGGCCACAGAGACTGCAGCAGGGACCCCTCAGCAAACCTGTCCGCTGTGTATCCTCCACGGGGGACTCACTTGTCCTTCCTGTTTGTGATTTTCTTCTTCCTTCTGAAACAAAAATGCCGGAAGGAATTCCAGGGAAGTCAGAGTTCTTTTGGGCTGCACTCGGAGGGAGATCTTAGTCCGTGTGGTTAGTCTCTGCACCAAGGTGAGCATCTTCTGCCCCCTCTGACTGGGGGCTATTTGGGGGACCTGACTCTGTCCCCTCACAGAGCCCTGTGGTCTGGCCAGGTGGTGCCTCCCCACCCCCACAGCTGTGGCTCTCAGCCCAGTAGGCTCATGAATCTCAGAGACCCCAGCTTGCCCGGGCATGCTGGTTCACGCCTGTAATCCCAGCACTTTGGGAGGCCAAGGCAGGTGGATCATCTGAGGTTAGGAGTTCGGGACTAGCCTGACCAACATGGAGAAACCCGTCTCTACTAAACATACAAAATTAGCCAGGCATGGTGGCAGGTGCCTGTAATCCCAGCTACTCAAGAGGCCGAGGCAGGAGAATTGCTTGAATCCAGGAGGTGGAGGTTGTGGTAAACTGAGATCACACCATTTCACTCCAGCCTGGGCAACAAGAGCAAAACTCCGTCTCAGAAAAAAAGACCCCAGCTTGAGGGGCCAGAGTTGGGGCAGAAAACTCCTCAGAGTGCTGACTGGGGGCAAAGGGGATACAGCTATCTCTCCCAGTGTCCTTCTGCTGGGGACAGGCTGTGGTCAGGCTGGGCACCATGCTTTAAAACATCCCACATGTGTTTTTCCCTGAACTCGTCCCATGACCCCTTTCCCGAATCCTGCCAGATGTTTCCGGGGAGGGACCCCGTTGCTCTCGTAAACAGGGGTGCATGTTTTCCCAGGGCGGCCAGCAGCAGGCACCGGTTCCTTGACCACCGTGCAGAAATCTTCATGGACTCAGAGGAATGTATTTTGGGTCTTTGCGTGCGAGTGAGCAGAGCCCAGAAATAAATCTGTGCCTGTAACAGGAAAAGACAGGCTCTCCTGCACGTGGGCTGTCTTTGCTCGTGACTCAGAGGTGCCCCATGGAGCCAGCACTGTTCCTGTGGGTCATGAGGATGGAAGACCACCACCTCTCCAGCCTCAGTGCCTTCCGTGGCCCCCCAGCGCTGAGGAGGCAGCTTCAAGCTTCTTGGCCGAAGGAGTCCATGCTTACGCAGGCGGGGACTCAGCTGGACCAGGGCTGCTGAGAGCACCAGATGCTCCCCTGCTGGGAAACAGGTCTTGTAATGCCCAGTTTGTGATGAGGACATGGAGGGTCAGAGAAGTTAAATCACTTTGCGGAAACCACACAGGGCCAGGGCAGGATTCCAGCCCAAGCCACCCCGTCCCAGACCTCTAAGCACAGTGCCCACTCAATCTGCCTCTCGCGGGCTGCAGAAGGGTCTGGGCTCGTCTTGACGGAGCCCCTGGCGCTGCCTCCTCCAGTTCACGCTGAGATCGTCAGTTCTCAGAGGGAGCCCAAGCCCACACCTTATGTCTTTCCGCCCTGGGCTCCCCACAAGGGTCTTCACACCCCACACTGTCCAATCACTGTGCCTGGGGTGGCCTGGTCCTGCTGTCTCTCTGAAGCAGCCTCAAGCCTGCGCTCCTGGGTCCACACTTCTGCTCCCCTAACCACTGGGGCAGGCCCCTGCACAAAACCAACCACCCTGAACCCCAACCTGCAGCTTCAGGGAGGGAGAAGGGGCTGAGCGGTGGCCCCGATCCACAGGCGCCAGGAGCATGCAAACGCGGCCTTGTTTAGAAGAAGGGTCTTTGCAGAGGGAACGAAGTTAAACATTTCTGGATGAGATCATCCTGGATTTAGGGTGGCCCATAAATCCAATAGCAGAGACTGGCAGAGGGAGATTCCAGACACAGTGAGGAGAGGAGGCCATGCCACCAAGAAGCCAGCAGCTGGAGCGACGTGGCCACAGCCAGGGAGCGCCAGGAGCCCCCAGAAGCTGGAAGAGGTAGGAAGGATCCTCTCCTAGGGCCTTCAGAGGGAACACGGCCCTAGGGACACTTTGTGGACCTCAGGCCTCCAGCGCTGAAGGAGAATAAACCTTTGTAGTTTTAACCCACCCACTTTGGGGTCACATGTTACAGCAGCCACACGAGGCTCCCACAATGGTTAGCATGGCACACACCTCAGGGCCTCAGTTTCCCCAGCTGCGAAATGAGAACAAGACTGAACCCGCCTCACAGGCTTGCGGTGAGGATTAAATAAATTGATAGCCACGGCAGGTATGCAGCAGCCTCCATCGACAGGACTGTTGCTATTACCGTATGATTGTTCTTCATTCATTCTTTCCGTAAATACATGTGGAGTGGCCGCCCTGAGCCTGCTGTGGACAGCAGGGCAGCACAGACGAGGCCTGAGCGGTGGTGCTGGGGAGAGGATGGCGTAGGGCAGGCCTCGTGGATGCAGCTGTGGGCCTGACCGTTAGCATAAGACACCACAGGTGGCTTCGGGAGGAGTGGCCAGACAGGACTCACCCCAAACCCATTTGCTTTCCGGTCAGATCAGAAAGAAGCATGGGATGAAGCTGGGGCGTCAAGGAGTGTCTCCCTTCCTCGGCGCGTCACCTGAGGTGCTGGGGCTCCTCCTTTTTAACGCTCTCTGCTGGACCTGGAAGCCTCGCCTGGGTCCCTGGGACTGTCACGTTTACAGGTTTCCACCAAGGCTCTCGCTGGGTGCATTTACTTGAACCATTTCAGATTTTGTTTACTTAAAACTCTTCCCGAGGCAGGCGGATCGCCTGAGGTCAGGAGTTGGAGACCAGCCTGGCCAACACTGAAACCCCATCTCTACTAAAAATACAAAAATTAGCCAGGTGTGGTGGTGGGCGCCTGTAATCCCAGCTACCCAGGAGGCTGAGGCAGGAGAATCACTTGAACCCAGAAGGTGGAGGTTGCAGTGAGCTGAGATGACACCACTGCACTCCAGCTTGGGTGACAGAGCGAGACTCCGTCTCAAAAAATCAAAAAATGATTTAAAAAAAACAAAAAAACTCATCCCCAAGTGACTTTGGCTTCATTGTCACTTGGGGATGAGTTTTTGCTTTTTGTCCACAAGCTACAATGAACCTATGTACTTGTGTCACACACTCAGCCTGTCGTCGGCAAGGGGGCCCAGAAGCAAGGTCAGTCCCCGAGCCTGCAGCTGGTCACTCTGCACCCAGAGCAGATGAATGGGGTCCCGCCGCCACTCGCTCTTGCTCCCGCCGGCTCATCCATTTTTGCCAAGACTTTCTGTCCGTTCCTTTAAGTCTCAGAATTATGGAAAGGAGAGGCAGATGGGACCTCAGTCTGGAAGCTGCAGCCTGACCCCCAAGCCATAGGGGACGGAGGCCCCCACTGCCCAGAGGCAGCTCTGGCTCAGGGGGGCACAGCGCTGTTTTGCCCCCCGTCTCTACCAAAAATACAAAAATTAGCCAGGCACGGTGGCACATGCCTGTAATCCCAGCTACTCAGGAGGCTGAAGCAAGAGAATCAACCTGGGAGGTAGAGGTTGCGGTGAGCCTAGATCGCACTGCGCTCCAGCCTGAGCAGTAAGAGTAAAACTCCGTCTCAAAAAAAAAAGAAGTGGGGAGTCCGGGCAACACTGCCTGTGTTTGAACACAGCTCCACTATGCTGGCAGCAGGACTGGAGGCTGTGGCGACTCCATCTCCCCCAGCCTCAGTGTTCCCATCTGTGACGGGGGCCTTTCTCATCAAGTTGCCGTGAAGGTTGATGGAGTGGGCTCCCATGAAGCTCCTAGCTCATGCCACATCCTCGACAGCCAGCGATCGGTGACTCTCTGCTACTCACTGTTGTCATTCAGGACCAGAGAGAGGTGACTTGGCCAAGCTTGCAGCCGTTTCAGGAGGGAGCTGGAGTTGGACTCAGGCCTGTCTTCGAGTCCCTACACCTGGCTGCCCATTCTCTTTAGGATAAAGTCAGTGCAGATACAAGGGACCCGAAGCAGGCAACGGTGTTGCCCTGACCCACAGCGGGAAAAGACCCAGAAGGGGACCCTCTTCAACACTGCTCAGGGACTCACAGGTCCCTGAGTGATCCCAGGTGGAGGCCAGGGGACCTGGGCTCTGCGTCCTGAAAGGTTTTCTTCTGTGGTCTGGGCTGCTTTGGGGCCCTCGGCTAAACCCTCCTGAGAACTTCCCCAGTGCTTTGGAGTCTATACCCCTGGGGACCCTCCTCTAGACCCTCCTGGCTCTTAAAGGTTCCCATGTGACCTGGGGGAGCCCCTGTAACCCCCTGCACTCCCTCCCACCTTCTGCAAAAAAGGGATTCTAGCAGTGCCTCAAAGTATCGTCAGCCCGGAATGAGGCCACAGTGAGAGCAGCTGTGCGCAGCGGCTGCTCGGTGAGCTGCACCACATGTGAAGGTCAAGGTGGGTTTCCACACAGATCCACCCACCCTGACCCAGAACTTTCCTTCTCTACCTAGACTAAAATCCATGGAGTTGGGTTTGTGAAGATCCACGCCCCCTGGAATGTGCTGTGCAGAGAGGCGGAGTTTCTGAAACTGAAGATGCCGACGAAGAAGGTTGGTGTTGATGCTTCTGCTCCGAAATGTATTGTCAAGTCTCGATGTCACTTGAATACCTGCCTGGGTCACATGAAGCCTACCTACCTGGAGGCCCGGAGCTTTATTAAAAAGCCCAGCGGGCTTCAAGGCTACTCCTGGGAGGACAGAGGCTTGATGTGGCAAGGGCCCCAAGCTCCGGGGTCCTGACCGTGGTGAATGTGACCCAGCCCCTGGTGGTCTTGAGAGACCGCAGAGCAAACCCCACCAAGAGACAGTGCAGGCGGAGAAGCCCACCTCTCCGCCTGCGAATTCACCGTAACTGCAAACACACTTACTCTTGGGGTCCTGGTGCTTTTGTGACTGTGGTGTCTCAGTTTATCAGATTCATTTTAATTACATTTTCTGGCTTCCTGGGATTTTTCTTTTTAATCTGTGAAAACTTTGTATCTGAAAGGCAGTTTGACAGTGTATTCGCAGAAGCTTAGCGTGGAGTCAGTGTTTACTTTGGCGGGAGGAAGGGCGAAGCGTGCTAGGCAGTAAATCAGCCTTCAGCTTCTCTCGTCCTCAGAGACCACTTGGGTTACCTCTTGTGAAGCAAAAGTAAAGTGTGGGGGGAAATTCTCTGGAATGCACTATAACAGTGCTTTTGGCTGGGCGCTCCCGAAACCCCGGGCTTTCACCGCATGGGCGGGGGGTGGGGGACATTCTGGCCCACCCAGGCACTCTGCTCGCAGGATGTGCCATTGCATGGGGTGGGATCGTTCTCTGACCATCTGAGGACAGACACAGATCGTGGTCCAGCAGCGTGACACAGCTCCCCGTCCCTTGTCTTGTCTGCAGATGTACCACATTAATGAGACCCGCGGCCTCCTGAAAAAAATCAGCTCCGTGCTCCAGAAAATCACAGAGCCCATCCAGCCCAAAGTGGCTGGCCACAGACCCCAGACCATGAAGATACTCTCCTATCCCTTCTCCCGAGAGAAGCAGCATCTGTAAGTGGGGACCCCCATCCTGCTCCCCAGAGGGTCCTGTGTGTGGGGATTTAACCCTCTAGCATGAGAAATGCGGGTTGATTCTCTGTTCCCCAAAGAAGAGCGTATTCTTGTAAGAGCTCTGTGGTTGCTGAACCCAGAAGAGGCCGTGGAAATGATTTCCAAGGTCCCTGTTATCTGAGGAGTTAGGGGGCCACAGCATCTTGTCCTGCTTGATGACACAGGAAAAACTTCTTCAGCCTGAGTGAAGACCCCAAAGCACTGGTCTGGACATGCCTCCCCGCTCCCCAGCCACCCCTCCCCCACCCAAGGTCTGGTTACCCAGGCCTCCTGCAGCCCAGGCAGCCTTGAACCCGAGGAAGTCTCACTCCTTGTGGCAGAAATTAAAAAGCATCCCCAAGCGGGAGGCCTGAGGCCCCAGGGACTCACCGCCAGCTGGCTTGCCTGGCAGAGCCACGCCTATTCTGGAACCTTACCCCCTCCCCCGTTCCCAAGGGTCAGTAGGGCGTAGCCACCTGGGTCAGCAGTGACTGCAAGGCCTCTGCTGGCCTCACTGGCAGAGCTGGAGCGTGGGCAGAGGCGGGAATAGAAAGCTTGAGCCATGGGAACCCAGAGGGACTTTGGATGGAAGCTCTAAGGGGGAGGAGAGCTCCTAGACAGTGTTCCTCACGGGGTCAGGGGGCCTGGAGGAGTGAACAGGGAGGACGAACAGGTGCCCCGGCCCACAGGGGTCCTTGCTTGTTAATGTAGGAGGGGTGGAGCCATGAGCATCAGTGGATGCATTTACCAGGTCCTAATTCCTAGAGCGGACAGGGCATTCCCCCAGAGGGAAGGAAGCACCCCCAAGCCCAGCCCTCTCCTCCAGCTCCAGAACGGGGGCTTGGGGCACTAGAGGAAACTGCCCTCCTTCCAGGATCCCTGCCCACCTCCCCATCTCTGCCCTGAGCCACCTCCGTCAGCCCCGCTGCCTGGCCAGGGCTGGGCTCACCTCCAGACCCATGGAGATGGAAGCTGCCCAGCTGCCCTCCCCAGCTCTCCCCCAAGTGCCTTGGAGACCAGGGAGTGTGTTCAAGATACCCCTCCACCCTCAGGAAGCCTCAGGCAATCCTTGTGCTGCCCATCAGGACCCAAACCATTAGAAGTCCAGGGAGATTGTTTTCAAGGTTGGAACTGTCTGATGGTAGTGGTGATACTGCCCTGTCCCCCTCCTTGTTGAAGCAGAGACTTTAAAAACTGCCTGCTGAAGATGTCATCAAAAGGAAGCTGGGATCTTCCAGGGGGGCTGTGGGGGCTGTGGGGGCTGTGGGGGATGGGGGTGGGGGATGGGGGATGGGGGTGGGGGATGGGGTATGTGGGGGGCTGTGGGGGGTGGGGGATGGGTCTGTGGGGGGGGCTGTGGGGGATGGGGGTGGGGGTGGGGATGGGGTCTGTGGGGGGCTGTGGGGGATGGGGATGGGGGTTGGGGGGTCTGACCATATTTGCCTCTCAGGTCACTTCCCATCTGTGTGGGTCTCAGGCCTCGCCCAGGAGCAGGGGCGGTAAAACAGACCATCCCGAAGGCCCAGGGGTGGACGGGTCATACGTGCTGTGCAGACAGAGTTCCCTCCATTTCAGGGTCACCGCTAATGGGGACAGTGTGGTTTCCCAGGGCCTTGAAACCTAGAGAACTGAACCGTATCTTATTTCCTTCCCGTATTTCCACAGATTTGACCTGTCTGATAAGGATTCCTTTTTCGACAGCAAAACCCGGAGCACGATTGTGAGTATCACAGGCGCCTGGAAACGGCTCCCGGCAAGGTGGCCCTGGGGAAGCAGATGATAATTTCATTTTGGTGAAACTCCTCCCGGTGGAAGCCGGCTCTAATTGTCTGTGACAGAAATAATTAGAATAATGAAAGGGAGAGGGCAGCGAGGGGCCCAGGGGATGGCCGTGCCCCAGGCTGGGGCAGCTCGGAGGAAGGGAGTAAGCATGGAGCTTGGGAAAGCAGGAGGGAAGCCAGTCCCCCGGAGCGATTTCAGAGGTCGGTGTTCCGGTGTCTGCAGCTCCCAGCACATGCCTCAGAGCCTCCTCACCCCCTCGTGGTGGGGTTGTGTGGGCCTGACTATCAGGCCACAATTGGGGGCTTTTGGAGCAGGGAGGTGGAGGCAGGAGGGAGGGGGTGGGGGAGGAGAAGGCATGTGGGTTAGAATCTCTTCCCAGGCCTTTTCCAGAGGAGCCAACCGAGGTTTGAATTCTGACCAGGCCACCCTGCCCTACTCAAGGCGCTGGCTGTGTGTTTATCCATCGGCCGCCAACCTGTCCACCAGCCAAGCTGGGGCTGTGCCTGGCTCAGGACCCAAATTCTATCGAAACAAGAAATGCACCTGGCAGCCAAACTGCTGCCGTGTTCTCTCTTCCTTGCCCAGAAAGCCCAGCCTGGCCGGGCAGAGACGGAGGGCTGGGAGGAGGCAACCGGGGTGACCTTGTCCAGGCGACTGCTCCTCATGGTCATGGCCACCACCTGAGACTGGAAGGCAGCCAGCAGCAGGGAGGTGCAGGTCACCCCAGCACGGGGTTCTGAGCCACTGCTGGGATAGGCAGATCTGGGCCAGGGCACTTTCTCCCAGAGACCCCGGAAGCCAGTTTCGAAACAGCCAACGTGCTCCAAAGAAACTGAGAGTTCATAGCGTTGGCCTTGGTTAGTCAGGCCTAATAGTCATCAAAATCCAAGAGCATGCAGGGTTGGCTGAGGTTCTAGGCAAAGGTGTGGAAGAGTGACAGCCCTTCCCCACTCCTCTCCTCCATACCGTTCACTCTGTCCTGGCATTGGGGTGGCCCAGTGTACAAGTGGGTAGGAGTCAGAGACCAGCAGTGCTTGATAGTGATGGGCCCACTGTGCTTGTCTTGGGTCTTAGACTTTTGGCCTGTAAGCACTGGGGAGCCATAGAAGGTTGTGGAGCACAGTTGAGGGTGTGGTCAGATCTGTTCTAGAAGGATCACTACCAGAGGCCAGCTGCAGGAGGCCAGATGACTGGTGGAGGAGGGCTCATGGCAGTGGTCATGAATGGGAGCCACAGCTGTGCATGGAAGGGAGGAGGTGGTTACAGGAGAATCAGCAAGGTCAGGACCGCTTAGATCTGAGGGATGATGGGGAGGGAGCCATTGAGAGCAGCTGAGTGGGCGATTCCTTCCTTCACTTAGCAGGGATGTGTTGGGCACCTGCTGTGTGTCCAAGCCTGGTTCGAGGAAAGAGGGGCTGAGCGCATTTCTAATCCGGCAGGTGGGGAGGCAAAAGGTGAGCTAGAAGACAGAGCCACCGGGAGGGTGGTGGCTTTAGGGCCAGGACGTTAGAGGGACGCTGGAGCTATTCCGATCTAAAGGGGACACGTGTTTCTGGGAGAAGGACCAACCAGGGCAGAGGCCCTGCGGCTGCAGAAGTGGGTCCCACGGAGGTGAAGGGGAAGAGCTCCGACCCCCTGGGCTTGGGGGGCCCTGGAAGGACGCTGGCCTTGCCCGAGAGACCGGAGGCAGGATCTGTGTGCTCTGACATGCACATCTGTGCAGCAGGACCAGTCGTTCTTACCCCAGTTTACACATAGAAAAACTGAAGCAGGGGGTGGCGATGGCATTGGTCCAAACTCTCACAGCTGCAATGGGCAGAGCCGGCGCCCGGGTCCAGGCAGACGGACTCCTGAGCCAGAGCTGCCGAGGCCACCAAACAAGACATTTCACTAGCCAAGGGGCACGCACCCGGGGTGGGATCCCTGCAGCAGGGCTCGGCCCAGGCACTGGGAGCCCAGAGCCCGATGGCGGCCATCTCCTGCCACAGCCGTGGGGAATGGATCCCAAGGCCTGCCCCCGCCCATCCCTCAGGGTCCTAGAACATTCAGGATTGTGTCCCTAAGCGGTGCTGTTCTAACTCATCTCTCAGCACGAGGGGACTGTCAACCCACCAGGCCAGGTACGGGGCCCAGCTGTGACTCAGGACACCAGCACTAGGCCCAGGAGGGCCCTCCATTGCTTCGCGGGGGTCAGCAGCCATGCCTCCCATGTTGGGAAGTGAAAGATGGGGCCTGCAGGTGCAGCTATTTCTCCCTGAGGACCTCAAGCCTCTGACATTGTTGAGAATCCCAAGCTGGGCCCACGGTCCCTGAATAAAGGCCACTGTCCTTCCTTGGAAAACAGCTCAAGGAGGGCGTCATGGGTAACCAGGTCCGCTGCAACCACAGCAGATGGACCGTTTCTGCTGGAGGGACGTGCCTGAAGCAACTGCTCACCCTCCGTCTTGTCTCTGCAATAGGTCTATGAGATCTTGAAGAGAACGACGTGTACCAAAGCCAAGTACAGCATGGGTAAGCACGTGTTTGGGGCTTGAGATCAGCGTTGCTTTCCAAGTGGGAATCTCACTCCGAGCCATCTCTGTGGGAGGTTGGGCAGCGGGCCTGGGGTGTTGAAGAGGGTTTTGATTTAAGCCTGTGTGACAGTTTCAGGCTGGAGGGCTGGGTTGGGAGCCTAGAGTGCAGTTTTACGGCCCCGCACGTTTCAGTACAAAGGTAGCGTGTGCTCAGGCTCTCCCGGCAGAGGTGGTAAATCCAGGCTGGCAACAGACAAGTGCTAGGGCTGACCAAGGGTTCTGGGCCCTCTCTTGACCCCCACAGTCCAGCGGGAAATAATCAGAGTTTGGGGTGGGGGTCACCGTGCAGCTGTTCTGGACCCTTCAAGGCACACCAGGGCTTACTGAAAGCACTTGCCCTGACCAGGCACCACCAGGTACAGCCTATTTGCTGAAGCTGCCACAAAACCATCCTGACCAGACTCCCTGGCTGCCCGTTTACAGAACCCTTTAAGCCATAGATATGAAATCTTCCCAGTTAAATTCTGTAGCTGGGGACCATCCACCACAGTGGGTCCCTTGCCCACAGCTGCAGGCAGTTTGTGAAAGCCAAAACATTGCAGAGCCTTTTCCAGCCTTTCCTCCCCTCCTTCTGGAGCCGTTTTATGCCCTGCTGAGAGCCGCGCTATAGGGTAGCATCCAGCACTCGGTAGAAGCCTCTAAAATGACGAGGCCAGGGCTCCCAGGGGAACACACAGGTCTGGTGAGAGCTGGAGTCTGTGCATACAAGAGGGACCGTCTTGCTGCCTTGGCTTCCCATGGTGGAAGTAAAATGGAAAGCAGTGGGAGTCACGGGCTCGGGACTTGAATTCCCAGGGTCAGGCCCAGGAGACAGAAAATGAACCCTCGACCACCTCTGGTGGCTGCTTGGCCCCCAATCATGTGGCCCGTGGTAACTCACAGGGATACCCTGGCAGGCCTAAAATCTCTAAGTCCATGTCCTAAGTCAACGGGAATGTGGAGGAGTCCCATCCAGGGTCCAGAGGACTGAGGACCTCTGGAGTGCATCAAGCTCAGGCAGAAAGGAAGGTAACGTCGGGAGTTTGGGTTTTTGAAATTGCTCCTCTAGGTCACCGCTGCCAGGGCAAACCCTTGGAAAGGTCACTAGAGGTAAGGAGGAGGCATGCTTTTGGTCCCAGGCTGGGTCTCGGACTTCAGTTTCCCCACCGGGTCCCTGCAGTGTTTCTTTCAGTAGAAACGTGTGTGCTTGCAGTACAAGTCCAGGATTCCTTGGGCTGCACAGTCCGGGCTGACTCTCTGGTCCCTGGGGACACAGGGTCTCCGTGTTCCCACCGGTTTTGTGGCAGGGCTGGTTCCCTGCACCTGGCGACGGGGCAGATAGATGTGGGTCCTCCTCTTCAGCCCTGCTTCACTGTGGCACCTTGTCTGAGAGTTCACCGCCACTAAATTCATCCTCAAGTAGGGAGGATTCCCGTCATCCCCCAGGCTGTGTCCCTTAGTCCTGCAGGATGAGCAGGGGATTTAGGAACTGTGCTGAGGGAGGCCTTCCAGATAGAGGAGCAGTGCGTGTAAAGGCCCTGCGGCAGGCAGCACCAGCTTTGGAGCGTCCCAGCAACAGGAAGGAGGCCCCAAGGAGCCTGGATCAGGCCCCAGGTCCACTTTCTATTGCAGACAAACTTTTCACTCACAGGTGTGGCTGAAGCCCCTTCCTCTGAGTATCCTTCAGGTGCCCTGATTATTCCAGGTCACTGACCACAGAGATGGCTCATTTTCAATGAGATTTCTGGAGTCATTTTCCCAGCGCTAGCAGGTGGAGTCTCAGAGGGTGGGTTGCCCAGGCTGCTGTGAAAACCTGACGCTTAGGAGGCCTCGTCAGCCAGGCGGAGGGTTCCGTGAGCAGCACAGGGTCCCATGGGAACGCCCCCATGCGGGGCCCCCGTGATGTGTTTGGAGCAAGATCAGATTTCCAGGAGCCCCTTCCCCACACTTGGCCCTGGCTGTCCCACCCTCTCTCGCAGTCTCCTGGGCTGGACGCCTGCATTCGCACCTGTTAGGACACACAGGTGTGGTGTTTTTATAGCATGCCCAGTGCAGGCCCTGGGGGTCACCTGAAAAGGGGCCTCACCAGCATTCCACCGCTTCCGGGAGCACTGGACGGCCGTGAGTCCGCCGGAACTGCTGGCCACCGGCGCCTGCTGCCCCAAATGTGGCTCTGATCCTCTCCGGCCCTTCACGTCACTAATAGCCAATGTATAAACAGGGCAAGGCGAGGGAAGAAAGAAGGACTCCGCCCTTCTAAGTAAAAGGCGGAAATGTGGGAAGTATGGTAAGTGTGGGCCTCCTCCGGCTTTCCCAATCAACCTAAAATCTAATTCCAAATTGTATGTGTGTTTTCTGACACCATCAATTTTTCCATCCGTATATTTCCTCATGATTCAGCTTCTCTAACCACTTACAATCCACCTTCCCCATCTGCAGGCTTGCCCTCGGACAGGTGGGGGGAACCGGTGAATCGGAGGCTTGGGGGCAACAGAGCGAGGCCACGGTCCGGTCCGCTCACACCGCCTGCCTCTGAGACGGAGCCGCCTCTTGGGGTTTTCTCTGTCTTCCTAATTCTGCCAATCGAGCATGTGTTTCGTCATCTCCTAGCCGGTAGATCAATAACCCAGCTGCGCCCTGTCATTCCTGGGGAAGAAATCCCAGAAAGGTGTCCGGGCTCTGTGTGGTCAGGTTCGTTTCACTTTGAGAAGCTTTTGGTGGCTGAGACGGCCCCGTGACCGCTGTGACTTTAAAATGTGAAGCGGAGACCTGCCTGCCCCATAACCTTCTCTCTGCCTCTGTTTTTAAGGCATCACGAGCCTGCTGGCCAATGGTGTGTACGCGGCCGCATACCCACTGCACGATGTGAGTAAACTCGACACACGGTTTATCTCTGCGTCATTTGACTCCCCAAATCCTGCCGGGCCACACCCCCCGGGAGCTGTAATTACCCTGTGGTCACAGTTTCCTGCTTGGCTCTCACTGTAAATGTCAACCATACACAGGCCTTCCCTGTTCCCCGTGCAACGCACGGAAAGTCACACACAGGGCCATCTTTTCTTGCAGAACAATCCCACCGAAACAGGGGCATGGGTGACAGCCTTCTCTGAACCTCACAGCCAGCCCAGCAAGTCCGCACAATCTCTTCCCGGCTTGGTCTCCTCGACCCCCGCTGGCCTGGGGCCCTGGCAGAGTGACGAGAGATCTGTGCCTGTCTATTTCTGCAGAGCAGTGGCCAGCATCCTGAGCTGAATCTCCAGATCCCACTGGCCTCCCGTTGACAAATATAGCCTGTGTCCGTGGCTGGCTTGGGGTGGAGAGAGAGAAAGGACTGTCTTCTTCTTGTCCCTATGGAAACAGGCACTCAAGTTCAGCAGGGTGCTGGGAATGGACCTCCGGGCTGGCGTAGTGTGGGAATGCCGGACAGAGGAGCTCTGAAACTGCAAATGTGCAAGGGCCAGGGGCCAAGAAGCAGGAGAGAAGGGACAGGCCTGGCACTAAGGGGACCCAGATTCTAGTCCCGGCCACTTAAACCCGCACCTCGGCCTTGAGTGGTGGAGTCAGCCCCTTGTCTTACTGAGCCTCAGTGTCCCCATCTGTGGGTCAGGAAGAATCGCCACTTGCCCTAATTCTCCTCTTCTGTTTTTTTACTTTTTATTTATTTATTTTTTTTGAGATAGAGTCTCGCCACTCTGTTGCCCAGCCTGGAGTGCAATGACTCGATCTCAGCTCACTGCAACCTCCGCCTGCTGGGTTCAAGCAATTCTCCTGCCTCAGTCTCCCAAGGAGCTGGGGCTACAGATGACCACTACCACGCCCAGCCAATTTTGTATTTTTATTATTTTTTAGAGTCTCGCTCTGTCACACAGGCTGGAGGGCAGTGGCGTGATCACGACTCACTGCAACCTCCACCTCCTGGGTGCAAGCAATTCTCCAGCCTCAGCTGGGACTACAGGCACCTGCCACCACGCCCAGCTAATTTTTTTTTTTTTTTTTTAGACGGAGTTTTGCTCTTGTTACCCAGGTTGGAGTGCAATGGCGCGATCTCGGCTCATCGCAACCTCCGCCTCCTGGGTTCAGGCAATTCTCCTGCCTCAGCCTCCCGAGTAGCTGGGATTACAGGCACGCGCCACCATGCCCAGCTAATTTTTTGTATCTTTAGTAGAGACGGGGTTTCACCATTTTGACCAGGATGGTCTCGATCTCTTGACCTTGTGATCCACCCGCCTCGGCCTCCCAAAGTACTGGGATTACAGGCTTGAGCCACCGCGCCCGGCCCCGGCTAATGTTTTGTATTGTTAGTAGAGACGGGGTTTCTCCATGTTGGCCAGGCTGGTCTTGAACTCCCGACTTCAGATGATCCGCCCGCCTCGGCCTCCCAAAGTGCTGGGATTACAGGTGTGAGCCACTGCGCCTGGCCTAATTCCTTTCTTCTTAAGGAAGAAACAGTAGATTAGACCAACCTAAGGTGCAGACATCGTGCAGGGCAGTTGGTCCAGGGGTGTCTTCTCCAGACGGTTGACCCCAAAGGAAAGAGTGTGGGCAGATCTGCCACCCGCCACCTCATCACCTCTCTGTCCAGGCCTCCTCCTCGCTGTAGGTCCGGGGATTGGGGTTGACCAGCCCAGCCTGCCCCATCATGCACTCACACATGCTGTTCCTTCTGCTACAGTACTCTTCCCTGACCCCGCCCGCCCCACCCCAGGTGGACAGAGGCACCCACACCAAGCCTTTCTGTAGCCTTCCTCCCCAGGACTGGTGGCTTCTTCCTCCCTTCTCTGGGCCTCGGAAGGTCCCTAACCAACAAAGACACCCCCGTCTGACCACATTTGGTTATATGTGTCATCTCAAGAAGCCCCAGCCCTCAGCACTTAGTGGGTGCTCAATAAATGTGGTGTCGATTCGGACGGGATTGAGTCAGCTTGCCTCGGTCAGTGACTAGCAGGTCTGCCTTCCAGGGCAGGCTCAGGCCCCGAGGGTCGTGGCAGTGGCTCTGGGCCCCTGCCCTGAAGCCCTGAGTCTGGAGGGGCCACTCCTCCACTCTGCCAGGCTTTCCTCCTGAGGAGCTAGCCAGTCTGGCTGTTCTGCCTCACCCTGTGTGGGCTCTGGCTGGGTGCCAGGAAGACAGCCCTGCCTGGCACAGCCCATGACCCCAAGAAGTCAGCCTAGAGTTACATCCATGCTCCTGGTTGGCCTCTTAGCAGGTAACCCCTGCTGGGAGGTTGAGGCACAGAAGCCAAAACGTGTCTGGGCCTCCCACCTGTTTTGTGTCAGCCCTTTAAGTCTTAAAAGGGGGCCGGGCGCGGTGGCTCAAGCCTGTAATCCCAGCACTTTGGGAGGCCGAGGCGGGTGGATCACAACGTCAAGAGATCAAGACCATCCTGGTCAACATGGTGAAACCCCAACTCTACTAAAAATACAAAAAATTAGCTGGGCATGGTGGCACATGTCTGTAATCCCAGCTACTGAGGAGGCTGAGGCAGGAGAATTGCCTGAACCCAGGAGGCGGAGGTTGTGGTGAGCCGAGATCGCGCCATTGCACTCCAGCCTGGGTAACAAGAGCGAAACTCCATCTCAAAAAAAAAAGGGAAAGGGGAGAAATCAACATATCTGAGCACCTACTGTATGCAGAGCCCTGTGTTTAGGAGAAACTGTACCTCATTTAACCCATGCAGGCACAGAGACTCAGAGAGGTTTAATAACTTGCCCGAGGTCACATAGTCGCTGTGGAGGAGCTGGGGCCAAATGCCTTCCTGCTGCTACGCCAGCCCCCCGCCGCGTCCCCACCTCATCCCGTCATGGAGGCCAAATGTATCCCTCTTCTTGGTGGCCACTACTGCATTTGTCTTAGGGGTCGACTGGCACAAAACTTCTTCATCAACTGGATGTGTTTACTGTCAGAAGGCCAGTCTCACAAGAAGTGTCTCCAAGGTCCAATAGAGAATCTCCTCTTTTAGAATCTTCATCTCGCCTTATTCAGCCATGCATGTCTGTTCCCACTTTAAAGACAGAAAAACAGGCTAGAAGGGGCTCAGGCCACTTGCTCAGGGGCTCATAGTCAAGAAGAAGTGGAGCTCAGAAACCCCGGGCTGTGGGTGTCAAGTATCCCTAAGGAACGTGGAATTTTACAGCCACAAATTTTCCTTATGGCTGAAGGGCACCCCTGCTGCTAAGTACGAAAGCTGATGTTTAAGCATCTGGAGCGATGACTGGCTCTGGCCTGAGCTGCATGCACCCACGTCCTTACCCAGAACACTGACGGCAGAGGAGCTCAGACCGGCCTCGTTGGTCATGGGGAGGCTCTCACTGCATATTCTGTCGTTCTGCCCTCACATTTTTACTTCCATCTTCCTCATCATTAAGCTGTCCTACACCCTACCCCGTTCCAAGCCTGTGCTGACTGCATTTATTCATTCATTTAGAATATCTGGTTGGCCGGGCATGGTGGCTCACACCTGTAATCCCAGCACTTTGGGAGGCTGGATCACCTGAGGTCAGGAGTTTGAGACCAGCCTTGCCAACATGGTGAAATCCCATCTCTACTAAAATTACAAAAATTAGCTGGGCGTGGTGGCGGACACCTATAGTCCCAGCTACTTGGGAGACTGAGGCAGGAAAATCGCTTGAACCCGGGAGGCAGAGATTGCAGTAGGCCGAGATTGCAACACTGCACTCCAGCCTGGGAGACAGAGCAAAACTCCATCTCAAAAAAAAACCATTGTCCAGGCCAGGCCAGCCACTCCCTGAACCTCAGCACAGCTGCTCCCTTGCTGCTCCTCCCCAGTTATTTATGTCAACGTAGCTACCCGGGGCTTCCCAAATGACAGTTCAGTATCGTTTCTGAGTGTTTTTGAGGGTAACGTGCACACAGCCACAGGCAGTCTAGACCCACCATGTCCCAAGACCGGCCTTCCACGCTTAGACCTTTCTCTTCCTTCAGGTATGAAAGTCTGGATGCAAGTCAGGGTCTGACCAAACTTAGCTGTGCGTCCTCAGAAATGTCAGTTTGCTTCTCAGAGCCTCAGTGTTTCCATCTGTGAAATGGGAGTGCTGGACTCACTGATCTAGATGACAGTGACTATGTTATGTACTGTGCCTCTTGAGATGCCCCACGGTGAAAAGGGGGCAAGACACCAGGACTGTCTTAGCAGAGTGGGACAGATGCACACTCGACTGATACGACTCTTCCTGCCCCCTGAAAGATAGAGCCCCCGAAAGCCCCCTTTCCTTTGTTTCTGGTTCCAAGGACCCGACCGTGGATCCTCTCCTTGATTCCCCTCTGTGTCGAGGGAAGAGGCAGCTCAGGCCGTCCCGGTTGTGGATGCCAACAGGGTCATGCACGACCTTTCTATCAGAACAGGGGGCACACCTGGGCAACCCTCACGCTCTGTGTGAAATGTCCCGGGATGATCTCGATTTGCGTCAGCGAGGGTTGCTGGGGCTTATGTCTTGTGACATTGGAGGTGAGCGGCTCAAAAGCTCCATTGGATGCTAAGAATGTCCCTTTCCTATTTTCTAACAGGGAGACTATGAGGGTGAAAACGTCGAGTTCAACGACAGAAAAGTAAGTTAACGGAGCGGACAGGAGGCAGCTGTGTCAGAGCCTGGAGCAGGTCTGGGGAGGGTGGGCCTGGGGGCAGTTCTGGGGAGGGTGGGCCTGGGAGCAGTTCTGGGGAGGGTGGGCCTGGGAGCAGTTCTGGGTAGGGTGGGCCTGGAGCAGTTCTGGGGAGGGTGGGCCTGGGAGCAGTTCTGGGTGGGGGTGGGCCTGTGAGCAGTTCTGGGGAGGGTGGGCCTGGGAGCAGTTCTGGGTGGGGTGGCCCTGGGAGCAGTTCTGGGGAGGGTGGGCCTGGGAGCAGTTCTGGGTGGGGGTGGGCCTGGGAGCAGTTCTGGGGAGGGTGGGCCTGGGAGCAGTTCTGGGTGGGGGTGGGCCTGGGAGCAGTTCTGGAGAGGGTGGGCCTGGGAGCAGTTCTGGGTGGGGTGGCCCTGGGAGCAGTTCTGGGGAGGGTGGGCCTGGGGGCAGTTCTGGGGAGGGTGGGCCTGGGGGCAGTTCTGGGTGGGGGTAGGCCTGGGAACGGGACTGAGGACTTGCTGGCCAGCAGGGTCTCCCCAGGGTGCTCAAGGTGGGGCACTGGTGGCAGGTGTCCCCTCTCGCCTTTTCAGGAGAAAAGTCAGTGACTGTGTAGCTGCTTTGTTTTCCTCTTTCTGATTCTCAAAAGTGCCCTTGGCAGGTGGCCGTGAGCGCATGGAAGGGCCACTCCTGGCACGCTCTCCCTTATCTTCTCAGGACGATCTGAACCCTGCCTGGGCCTCCAGCAGTCTCCGCTGGCATGTGGCCTAATCCCTCAGGGCTCCCAGGCGAGTCCACTTGGGAACCACTGAGGCCTGGAGCATAGAGAACGGTGGCCCCCAGCAGCACACTGGGGGACTCTTCGATGGTGGTCAGTGAAGCGTTTCTCAAAGTTACCTGACCTGGAACCGTTTTAAAAGGCGAAGTGGTTGAGCTAGTGTTCCAGGGAACACACTTTGGGAAACACCAGGTGACCCCCCCCTTTTTTTTGGAGTCTCACTCTGTCACCCCATCTGGAATACAATGGCACAATCTCAGCTCACTGCAGCCTCCTCTACCTCCCGGGTGCAAGTGATTCTCCTGACTCAGCCTCCCAAGCAGCTGGGATTTCAGATGCCTGCCACCGCGCCCGATTAATTTTTGGTTTCGGTTTTGTTTTGAGAGTCTTGCTCTGTTACCCAGGCGCCTACCACCATGCCCGGCTAATTTTTGTATGTTTTTAGTAGGGACAAGTTTCCGCCATATTGGCCAGGCTGGTCTCGAACTCCTGACCGTGTGATCTGCCCGCCCCAGCCTCCCAAAATGCCGGGATTACAGGCGTGAGCCACTGTGCCCAGCCCTCATTTTTGTATTTTTAGTAAAGACAGGCTTCTGCCATGCTGGCCAGGCTGGTCTTGGACTCCTGGCATCAAGTGATCCAACCTCCTCAGCCTCCCAAAGTGCTGGGATTACAGGAGTGAGCACCCACATCCAGCTGGTCCCTTTATTCTTTAGTGGCTGTTGCTAATTTCCCTCACTCCCCAAAGCATTGGTCCCCATCCTCTGCCCCTTGCTCTGAGGCTCCCCTCCCACCCAGGCTTCCCAGGAAGCTCTGCTCCTCTGTCCTGCCCCCAAAAGAGCATCTCCCCCCCACAGCCATTTGCTCTTCCCTCCCCCACATGCACCCACACCCGATCTCAGCCTCCCCCCTAGGCCTTCACATCATCCTCTGTTCCCCAAACTTGCCCAGCCTTCCCCCCCAGGGGGAGCAGTCCTTCCTGACCCTGCATGTCCAGCCCTTGCCCCGATGGCTGGTCCTTCCGGAGGAGGTGGGTAGAGATGCTTCCCTGACAACCTCACAATAGTGGCCTTGTCCCAATTCCCAGGGGCCAGGACCTCTGTGTATGGAATGTTCTTCATTTCAGCCTCCCCCCAGGTCCCCATGCATGCTTTTTAACCTTTGGTACTTGGTCCAACTCGCCCGCCCGGGAATCCAGATGAAGATGCTATCTGACTTAGCACAAGTTACATATTCGGTTATTTTTAGTGTAGCATCTGGCATCATCTGAGACCCATGACTTGCAGAACTCCCTGCTCTGATTCTGCTGGAAAAGGACCGTCCCCTCCACAGGCCTGTCCTGACCAATTCCAGCCTCAGAGTCCAGCCCCCTTCATTCCTCTGCACCCCTCTGGCACTTGGTGGATGCCTGTCCTCCCCCTAAAGATGCTTCTGCCATGGACACCAGCAGCCCCTTTCTGGCCGAATTCGCTTCTCTGGGTCACAGGCCCCTGAACCCTACCCCTCCCCCTCCTCCGTGCTCCAGCCACACTGGTCCCATCAGTGCCAGGACTAGCTCATTCAGTTACTTATTCATTCAAGAAATATTTACTGGGCACGACTCTGTGCCAGGCCCAACAAACACAGTGTGGGTTTGTCCAGGCCCAGCTGTTCACTCTACCTGGAATGCTTCCTACCCCCCATTTAATTTTAGGTCCCAGCAGTGTGTACAAGGCCTGGCCCATGGGGGTAGTCAGGGAATAATGAATGACAGTTCTGCGGATGATGGATTAATGGTTGATAGATGGATGGATGCAGATAGAGATAGATGACTGGATGATGGATAAATGGATAGACAATGGGTGGATGGATGGATAGATGGATTGATGGATGAAGGGATAAATGATGGATGGGTGAATAGGTGGATGGATGAATAGAGGATTGACAGGGAGTGGCTGGATGGACGGATGCTGGAGAGATGAATGATGGTTGATGAATGGGTGGGTGGATGGGTAGGGGAATGGGTGGATGGATAGATGGATGGTTGATGGATGGGTGGTTGGGTGGATTCATGGTTGGATGCTGAAGGGATGGGTGGTTGATGGATGGGTGGTTGGGTGGATTCATGGATGGATGCTGAAGGGATGGATGGTTGATGGATGGGTAGGTGTGTGGGTGGGTGGTTGGATGGATGGATGCTGGAGGAATTAATGATGGATGATAGGTTGATCGGTGAATGATGGAGGAATTAATGATGGATGATGGGTGGGTGGGTGGATGGGGGACTGACGGAGGGATGAATGATGGATGATGGAAGGATGGATGATGGGTGATGGGTGGGTGGATGATGGGTGATGGGTGGGTGGATGATGGAAGGATGGATGATGGGTGATGGGTGGGTGGATGATGGAAGGATGGATGATGGATGATGGGTGATGGGTGGGTGAATGGATGGAGGCTGGAGGGATGAATAATTAATGATGGATAGATGGGTGGGTGGGTGGATGGATGATGAGTGGTGGCTGGATGCTAGAAAGAAGAAAAGGAGGGAGGGAGAGAGGATTAGGTGGGTGTGTGGGTCCACACTCAGATCTGCAGGGAACTTCTCTGCATTCTCCCACGATGTCTCCACATCACAGCCTGGCACTGAGTTTTTGTCTCTCCAGTGACGGAATCTGTGGCTTCTCCATTATCATTCCCATCAGTGGCAGGAGCCCCGGGTGCCTGGCCCTGGGTACCTCACAGAGCAGAAAGGAAAGTGCTGAGCTGGGAGGGTGGGCAGAAGACAGTGTAGGGAGTTTAAGCAGGAGGCAGGTCTGGGCTGTGGCAGGGCAGCCATCACTCTCTCCAGGCCGATCACGGGATCACAAACATGTAGGAGTGCTTGGGAGTGAGCCCCTTCCTCCAGGACTCGGGCAAGCTCACACCTACACAGAACTACACCCCGGGTGAGCAAGGCATGCCCGCAGGTCTGTGTCTGGATGTGCAGAAGGTGCTGTGATGGCAGCCAGCGTGCTGGAAGAGGAGGACCAACTGGGCCCCGAGGAGGGCTGGCTTGGGTCGTGGGGGGATTTCCTCCAGGTGTGGACTGAGGTCTGCCGCCTCCCTGGGCTAGACTGGGAGCCACAGAGCCCAACCTGTAATTCATCCATCCATTCATTCAACAGTCACTTACTGAAAACCTGCAGGCCTTGTTGGAGGCCTGGAGGATGAGAAGGACCAGACAAACCTGGTCCCTCTGGTTTTCCATTTCTAGAGGAAAGGGCAAGGGACAAGGACCTACACTAATTAAAGACTGCATCCATGTCACCAAGGCCTGCAGCAGCCATGTGAGTCCAGGCACGAGGTCTCGACTAGATGGATGCCTGAGGGCTGCTGGGATCCCTCCGGGGTCCGGGTGCTGGAAGGTTCCCAGGCCACAGTGGCTGGCCTCATTCTCCAGCCCACAGCCCCCATGCCTGGACATGCCCTGCCCACTCACCAGGGCTAAGGTGCCCACCTTGGGTTCTTTCCAGCACTAATAGTGGAGTCTTCATGTGCCTTGGATTTCTGTGCCTTGACAGTGCAGAGTGGTTGAGTTTTCTCTCTCTGCCTGTCTCTCTGTCTCTGTCTCTCCATCTGTCTCTGTCTCTCTTTCTCCCCCACCTCTCTGTCTCTGTCTCTCCCTCTCCCCTTTCTCTGTCTCTGTCTCTCCATCTGTCTCTGTCTCTCTTTCTCCCCCACCTCTCTCTGTCTCTGTCTCTCCCTCTCCCCTACCTCTCTGACTGTCTCTCTCACTGCCTCTGTCCTTTCTCTGTCTCAGTCTCTCCATCTGTCTCTGTCTCTCTTTCTCCCCCACCTCTCTCTGTCTCTGTCTCTCCCTCTCCCCTACCTCTCTGACTGTCTCTCTCACTGCCTCTGTCCTTTCTCTGTCTCAGTCTCTCCATCTGTCTCTGTCTCTCTTTCTCCCCCACCTCTCTCTGTCTCTGTCTCTCCCTCTCCCCTACCTCTCTGATTGTCTCTCTCTCTGCCTCTCTCCTTTCTGTCTCTGTCTCTCCCTCTCCCCTACCTCTCTGACTGTCTCTCTCTCTGCCTCTCTCCTTTCTCTGTCTCTGTCTCTCCATCTGTCTCTGTCTCTCTTTCTCCCCCACCTCTCTCTGTCTCTGTCTCTCCCTCTCCCCTACCTCTCTGATTGTCTCTCTCTCTGCCTCTCTCCTTTCTGTCTCTGTCTCTCCCTCTCCCCTATCTTTCTGTCTCTCTCTCTGCCTCTCTCCTTTCTCTGTCTCTGTCTCTCCATCTGTCTCTGTCTTTCTTTCTCCCCCACCTCTCTCTATCTCTATCTCTCCCTCTCCCCTATCTTTCTGACTGTCTCTCTCTCTGCCTCTCTCCTTTCTCTGTCTCAGTCTCTCCATCTGTCTCTGTCTCTTTCTCCCCCACCTCTCTGTCTCTGTCTCTCCCTCTCCCCTATCTTTCTGACTGTCTCTCTCTCTGCCTCTCTCCTTTCTCTGTCTCAGTCTCTCCATCTGTCTCTGTCTCTCTTTCTCCCCCACCTCTCTCTGTCTCTGTCTCTCCCTCTCCCCTACCTCTCTGATTGTCTCTCTCTCTGCCTCTCTCCTTTCTGTCTCTGTCTCTCCCTCTCCCCTATCTTTCTGACTGTCTCTCTCTCTGCCTCTCTCCTTTCTCTGTCTCTGTCTCTCCATCTGTCTCTGTCTTTCTTTCTCCCCCACCTCTCTCTGTCTCTGTCTCTCCCTCTCCCCTACCTCTCTGATTGTCTCTCTCTCTGCCTCTCTCCTTTCTGTCTCTGTCTCTCCCTCTCCCCTATCTTTCTGACTGTCTCTCTCTCTGCCTCTCTCCTTTCTCTGTCTCTGTCTCTCCATCTGTCTCTGTCTTTCTTTCTCCCCCACCTCTCTCTATCTCTATCTCTCCCTCTCCCCTATCTTTCTGACTGTCTCTCTCTCTGCCTCTCTCCTTTCTCTGTCTCTGGTCTCTGTCTCTCCCTCTTCCTCCCTCCGTCTCTCTGTCCCCTCCTTCCCTCCTCCTCCCTCTCTGCTGCATCTTCCACCTATCTTGGCATAAATCTGCAGTTTGACTCTAGGTGAGGGGAAGAAGCTGCCCAGGTTAGCGATGGCTGCTTTACTTTTGCAGCAAAGGCGAGGTTCCGCTTCATCAAGGTTTGCTGACCGAGGCCTCCCTGTGTACACAGTAAAACTGCAGCCTTTTCATCGCTGTCTGCCTAACGAAATACATCACGCTGCCTTTCACACATCACCAACCTATATGAGTTCCCTCTGTGACTCAGGCTCCCTCCATGACCTGGGAGGAGAGATGGCATCTTCAGTGTAAGGGAAGAGGCAGGGATGGGGGACGGTCTGTCCAGGACTCTCGACTGGCGGGGGTGCCTGGCCAGGGATACAGGCGAGTCACGAACCCCTCCGACCATGGGCATGCCCAGCTGCAGGTGAGGCTGGTGGCTTCGAGGGGCTGTGCAGCAGCAGGCGTCCCCTTTGTGGATTTCAGGAACACGCCCTCCACTTGTGAGTCTGGGTGGAGGCAGCTGTGGGTGCACCTGGGCTCATTCCTGTCCTGTTTGTCTGTGGGGGTCTCCATAGTCCACAGCCCCAGTGTTACCCGAGACGCTCAGGCACGATGGGCTCTGTCAGCTGTGGAAATGGCTCACACCCACTTCCCCTCCTCCAGGCACTGGGAGCAGTTACGGAGGCTCCAGGGGGTTCCCTGTTTCCCAGCCATGACCTTGACTCTGAGTCTGGGAGGCAGCTTGGCCCCAGCTTGGCTCTGAGCTAAGGAGGAGGGCAGATGGCCCACCTCTGGCTCCTGGTGGACAGTCTCTGGGCCCCTCATGGTACCTGCATCCTGCCTTCCCTGAGGGTGGCCCTGTAGCTGGGCCGTGTGACGCGTGAACCTGGGCTTGGAGTTGAGGTCTGGAAAGTGTTAACTACCCACATGCGTGGTTTTATTTAATTTTATTTTGTCAGCAGCAGCCCTAAGCCAGCGTCTTCCTCAGACACCCTCTGCATGTCCACACAGAGCTTCCAATCCCCCAAACTCACTACCGTCCCTGCCCAAAGCCTGGGGGGTAACACGGTGTGTGTCAACTCCATTTATTTCACAATAGTGCTGTTAATCAGACAGACCATCTCTGGAGATAAACCTCGAGTATCTTTGCATCCCATGAGATTTTTTAAATTTTTGCCGCTGGTATTTATTTCTCTGCCCAAAACCCTGGTGGTTTTGTGCCCTTTGTAAAGAATGGTTTGGGGTCTGGCGGGGATGACCAAAAACCCTCAGTGCGAGAAGCTGTACAGCGTCCAGCCCATTTAGGTCAGTTCCAGGTCAAATCACGAAGAGCACAGATTCCATAACCTGCAGAAGCTTCTTTCCCATCCCCACGTTCACCTGAAAAGGGAAGCCTGCTCTTGCCGGCACAGCCCACTCTCAAGAAGCGTTTGTGGGACGAATGAATGATGTCACTGAGGCCCAGTCCCCGCAGCTATGCGAGTGTCACCAACTCACTGCTTCCTCCCCTCAGCTCCTGTATGAAGAGTGGGCGCGTTATGGGGTCTTCTATAAGTACCAGCCCATCGACCTGGTCAGGTAAGAATGCCCCACACCCTGTGGGAATCCAGTCCCTAGTCCGATGGCAGTCAGATCCATCCCTGTGGGTTTCAACTGCTCTGAATATTCACCTGGGACCTTGTGTAGGAAGACCCCAAGTGTCCCTGCAGGGCTGACGGTCTGGGCCAGTTTATTCAAATTCCCTGGAGGACGGGCTCTTTTCTTTTCTTTTTTTTTTTTTTTGAGACGGAGTTTCGCTAAATGGCGCGATCTCGGCCGCAACCTCCGCCTCCTGGGTTCAGGCAATTCTCCTGCCTCAGCCTCCTGAGTAGCTGGGATTACAGGCACGCACCACCATGCCCAGCTAATTTTTTGTATTTTTAGTAGAGACAGGGTTTCACCATGGTGACCAGGATGGTCCCGATCTCTTGACCTCTCGATCCACCCGCCTCGGCCTCCCAAAGTGCTGGGATTACAGGCTTGAGCCACCTCGCCCAGCCTGAGGGCAGGCTCTTTTCTATCACATTCACTGCCTGACCTGGCCTCCCTGGGCTTCTGGAGGGGTTTCCCGATTTGAGATGTGCAGGGGAAGGAAAGAGCTGCCTCACATATGTAAGAATTTCTCCTCTCCTCAGAGGATCTCTGTCCCTACAGGGCAGGAAGGAGGGGTGGACCTGGTTAGGCAGTGTGTCCCATGGGAACTTCCAGACCAGAGCTGGGCCTGGTCTGGAAGAAATCCGTTCAGGCCATCAAGGTGCCAACCACGCTTGACATGAGGAGCTGTTGGATTTTCTTGGCACCTCCCAGCCAAGGGTTCTTTCCAGTCCTTACGCTAAGCAGGGATTGGAACTGAGCTGACAGCCTCAGGGGAAGTACGTCCACACCCACCAGCATGGGCCATCGCACACGGAAATGCCCACCTTCCACGAGACAGAAGTGGGGGCTGGAAGTGGTGGTTCATGCCTGTAATCTCGGCACTTTGGGAGGCTGAGGCGGCGGATCACCTGAGGTTAGGAGTTCGAGACCAACCTGGCCAACATGGTGAAAACCTGCCTCTACTAAAAATACAAAAAAAATTGCCCAGGTGTGGCGGCTCACGCCTGTAATCTCAGCACTTTGGGAGGCTGAGGCACATGGATCGCTTGAGGTCAGGAGTTTGAGACCAGCCTGGCTAACATGGTGAAACCCCGTCTCTACTCAGAATGCAAAAATTAGCCAGGCATGTTGGCACATGTCTGTAGTCCCAGATATTAGGGAGATTAAGGCAGGAGATAGCTCAAACGTGGGAGGCGGAGGTTGCAGTGAGCCAAGATCATGCCACTGCACTCCAGCCTGAGTGACAGAGTGGGATTCCATCTCAAAAAAGAAACAAAAAAAAAAATTATCCGGGCGTGGTGGCGTGTGCCTGTAATCCCAGCTACTCGGGAGGCTGAGGCAGGAGAATCACTTGTACCCGGGAGGCAGAGGTTGCAATGAGCTGAGATGGTGCCACTGCACTCCAGCCTGGGCCACAGGAGCAAAACTCCTCTCAAAAACAAAAAAGAGAGAGAGAGAGAGAGAAGAGGGAAGGGCTTCAGAAAAGCAGTGAGCACCCCAAGCCTGATAGGGCAGCCCAGGACCACTCTCTGCTCTGGGACAAGAGACCCAGTGCCCCTGGTTGAGTTGCTCCTTGCTGGGGGACCGTGACCTGTTTCCCTGCTGGTATTGAATGACAGTGGGCTTGTCTGTTTGGCTCTGCCCCCCTGGTGTAGGAAGTACTTTGGGGAGAAGATCGGCCTGTACTTCGCCTGGCTGGGCGTGTACACCCAGATGCTCATCCCTGCCTCTGTCGTGGGAATCATCGTCTTCCTGTACGGATGCGCCACCATGGATGAAAACATCCCCAGGTAGGCGGCACCCCTCCCCTGCGTGCACACCAGGGAGCCCTCTCCTGCTGTCCCAGCCACAGGCCTCTCACACCAATTCCTGTACAGAGGAAACCTCACATCAAGCCACGAGCCGTCAGGAGGAAAGGGCGAGGTCCGAAGCCATCTAGGAGTCTGGGTGCCCGCCTCAGCCCCAGCTGTTCTAGGCTGTGTTTTATTGTTAAGAGAAGGTTGTAAAACAAAGATCCGACCGTTTTCATTCTTGGAGGTTGTTCTGGTTGGCTTATTCCTTTTCATTTTTGGTCATTATGTGACAAGAAAAGTATCTGTTTCCTTGTGCAGCCAGAAGGTGAGATGTGAATGCTAGAGGCCTCGGTGCAGGCTGGCACTCGGGGAGGTGAGACATGAAGCCTAGGGGCTTCGGTGCAGGCTGGCACTTGGGGAAGTGAGACATGAAGCCTAGGGGCCTCGGTGCAGGCTGGCACTCGCGGGACGTGAGACATGAAGCCTAGGGGCCTCGGTGCAGGCTGGCACTTGGGGACGTGAGACATGAAGCCTAGGGGCCTCGGTACAGGCTGGCACTTGGGGAGGTGAGACATGAATGCTAGGCCTCAGTGCAGGCTGGCACTCGGGGAGGTGAGACATGAAGCCTAGGGGCCTCGGTGCAGGCTGGTGCTCTCGGGCTGTACAGTAGGCTCCACCCGCTCAGCTTCCTGAGGGTACCTGTTTCCCTTATCCCCACAGCCCCAGGAAATGTTGCAGGAACAATTCCATAATGGAGGATTGCACCTCACAGCATAGCCAATTATCTGAATGTAGATCCCATGTGCCTTCTGCTGTTCACCAAGGGGATGTCAGATGTGAGGAGCTTGGAGAAGAAGGCCCAGGCCCAAGGCAGCCAAGCCTCGCTCAGGGCGCAGTTCCCCTCAGTGTCTCCAGAACAAGAGTCCAGTTCTCCCTGATGTGGTGCCTCCCTGTAATCCCAACACGTTGGGAGGCTAAGGCTGGAGGATCCCTTGAGCCCGGGAGGTCGAGGTCGCAGTGAACCGTGATCTCACCACTGCACTCCAGCCTGGGGACAGAGTGAGACTCTGTAGCCACAAGAAAAAATGTCAAGTTTCAAGAGGCTCAGCCTCCGCGCGCAGAGCCCTTCTGGTGCTTTTGTAGCTATTTTTTAGATCTCCTAACACGAACCTGGGGTTAATTTCAGGCTCCCAGCCTCTGGCAGGGACTCTGTGCCGACAGGCAGTGCCTTCGGTGTGCAAATCGCTCAGCCAGGAAATCGACTCTAAAGGTGAATTTGGGGTGGCCCTGCCCTGCAGGGGCTTAAAACCTCAGAAGAGCCCTAAAATGTCAGTGTGGTTATTTTTCAAACGACTCCTGCCAAGTATCTCTAGAGCAGAGCTAGAGTTCAGAAGCTGTGTCCAGTGAGCCCGTCTGCAGAGACCCGGCCAGTCTTAGCTGGGAAAGAAACTGACTCTTAGTAGGATGGAAACTGTCCAGTGAGCCCGTCTGCAGAGACCCGGCCAGTCTTAGCTGGGAAAGAAACTGACTCTTAGTAGGATGGAAACTGTCCACTGAGCCCGTCTGCAGAGACCCGGCCAGTCTTAGCTGGGAAAGAAACTGACTTAATAGCACGGAAAGACCATATCTGGTCAATCTTTGTTTAAATGCTGTTTTGATACATGAATAACACCTGAAATATTTCACCCACCCGAATCAAAGCTCTGAGGAATCTGGCTTATCTCCCCTTTGGCGTTATTTGGTCCTTTTGTTTGCTGATATGAGATGAGGTCATGGGCACTTGGGTTTGGGTGTGGTAAAATCACAGTAGCCCAGATTTGGTGGGGATTGTAATGCCAGCTGCAGGCTCAGAGCTCAAAGCCAGAGGGCGATGGTGAGTGCAAGGTGGGGATTCTCACCATGAGCCCCCGAGGAAGCCTGCGGGACCACCATCTTCCTTCCTTCCTCCCCTTGGAGGGTGGCCTCGGCAGGGAGGCTCTGCCTCCCAGGGGTTGGCCTTGCCGGCTTGGCGCTTCCACCACATGGCCAGAAAGGCCAACGGCAGTTACTCCGGATTCAGCCGCTGTGGGCAGCAACCCGGCCAAAGCCAAAGCCCCCGCCCCACGGGTGACCTGGAGCGAAGCAGGAGGTGCGTGCTCCCCGCAGGGTCCACCCCGTCCCCACCAAGTGTGCAGGGAAGTCTGCGCCCAGCGTCGAGCTGCCTGCCACCCTTGCACCCCTGGGCCTCCCTGCACAACGGAGTTTCCTGCTCTTTTTTATTTTGGCTAAAGGTGGTGAAGTGAGAGGCGGGGGAGGATTTAAAACTGGCAGGAAAAGGCTTTTTGTGGGGCTGATGGTGTTTGTGCTAGAAGCTGAGTGGGGCAAGGAGGGGAGCCCAGGAGAGCCGCAGGGCTCACGGCAGGCCGTCGGTGTGTGCCTGAGTCCTCCCTGTCCCCAATCCCACCACTGTGGACTCCAGGTCACCCTCAGGCCAGCTGGTCACTGTGGGCTGGGCCACATGCTGATGATGATGGGGGTGGCCTTCCACATGCCTGTTCTCTGAGAGAGGGGCTCGCATTATGCCCGACCGGGGACATCCTGCCCCCACAACACGCTGCCTCCTTCTGCCCTTGAGAGGCCCTCAGAAGAGAGGAGGCTGAGTGAGGGGCAAGAGATGAGCCGGAGAGGCGGCTCCTGGCTCTGCTTAAAGCCGGCTGCTGCTGCAAGGCGCTTGGCTACTACATAATGATGACAAGAGCGTTGGTGACACATGACGGCTGAGGGCTGCCAGGCGCTGCTCCGAGGGTCACTCGTGTTGGTTGTTAGATCCTCCTGACAACCTGTTAACACGGCTTCTCTTCACTATCAGCAACCCCATTCTGCAGACTGGAAAACAAGGCCACACAGGTCACAAATGCCAGAGCTGAGATACGAACCCAGAGCTAGCCGGCCGCGGAGGGCAGGCTCTTCCCCCACCTCTGTGCACCTGCCCACCCCAGCCGGCCCCTGCTCCCATGCACACACACACACTCACATTCTCACACTCACACACATGTACTCACACACTCACTCAGACTCACACACACACACCTGTGTGCACCTGCCCACCCCAGCCGGCCCCTGCTCCCATGCACACACACACACACACACATTCTCACACACACACACATGCACTCACACACTCAGACTCACACACACACATACCTGTGTGCGCCTGCCCGCCCCAGCCGGCCCCTGCTCCCATGCGCGCACGTGCACACACACACACACACACTCTCACATTCTCACACACACGCATGCACTCACACACTCACTCAGATACACACACACCTGTGTGCACCTGCCCACCCCACTGGGCCCTTGCTCCCATGAACACACACACACACACACACACACACACGTGATCCTGCCTGCCCCACCCGGCCCCTGTTTTCATGCATACACACATACACTCACACACACACTCTCACACACACACACGTGCTCCTGCCTGCCTCACCTGGCCCCTGCTCCCATGCACACACACACACACACTCACACCCTCACACACATACACTCACACTGTGCACCTGCCCACCCCACCCGGCCCCTGCTCCCATGCACACACTCACATTCACACACACACACATACACTCACACCTGTGTGCACCTGCCCACCCCACCCGGCCCCTGCTCCCATGCACACACTCACACACACACACACACACACTCTTCCTCCGTGCTCCAGGTGTGGCCATGGCTGCAGTGAATCGCTCTTACCTGCCCACCTTTTTGCCCAACACGGTGCCCAGCACACGCAGTACCTACACCACTTTTTTTTTTTTGTGAGGCGGAGTCTCGCTCTGTTACCCAGGATGGAGTACAATGGCGTGAGCTTGGCACACTGCAACCTCTGCCTCCCAGGTTCAAGTGATTCTCCTGCCTCAGCCTCCCAGGTTCAAGTGATTCTCCTGCCTCAGCCTCCCAGGTTCAAGCGATTCTCCTGCCTCAGCCTCCTGAGTAGCTGGGATTATAGGCACGCACCACCATGCCCAGCTAATTTTTGTATTTTTAGTAGGGGTGGGGTTTCACCATGTTGGCCAGGATGGCCTCGATCTCTTGACCTCGTGATCTGCCTGCCTTGGCCTCCCAAAGTGCTGGGATTACAGGTGTGAACCACCTCACCTGGCCCAATTTTTGTATTTTTATAGACGGGGTTTCACTACATTGGCCAGGCGGGTCTCAAAGCCCTGAGCTCCAGTGATCTGCCTGCCTCAACCTCCCAAAGTGCTGGGATTACAGGCATGAGCCACCTCGCCTGGCCCTACACTGCTTTTTAATAAATGTTTAGAGACTGAAGGAAGAGAACTGAACCAGGCTGCCCGTGACACTGGGCACAGAGGAGGCCCCTCGGAGCCTCGCAGAGGATGTTCACTAATCACCGGCTGCTGTGAGTCAGGCATGACTCTGTGCCCAAGTTCAGTGTATGCAGAAAGTCAAAAAACAAACACCCACTTCCCCCAGGTGACCCTCTGACCTAACCAGCCTGGGGTGTTCGAGCCACAGCCCTGTCCAAAGAAGCAGAAAGGAGAAAGTTCAAAGCAGACCACAGTGGGAAGGACCTGATTCTGACCCCCTCCTCATCTTCCGGTCTGTGTAATCCCAGCACTTTGGGAGGGCCAGGCAGGTGGATCACGAGGTCAAGAGATCAAGACCATCCTGGTCAACATGGTGAAACCCCGTCTCTACTAAAAATACAAAAAATTAGCTGGGCATGGTGGCGCGTGCCTGTAATCCCAGCTACTCAGGAGGCTGAGGCAGGAGAATTGCCTGAACCCAGGAGGCGGAGGTTGCGGTGAGCCGAGATCGCACCATTGCACTCCAGCCTGGGTAACAAGAGCGAAACTCTGGCTCAAAAAAAAAAAAAAAAGAGAGAGAGAAACTGAGTCTGAGGCTAAAGGACCTGGCCAGGGTCACAGAGGCTATGCGTAGGCGACTGAGGGCCCATGCAGGCCACCCGGCTTCCACAAGGAGCCGCCCACGGCCCTTGAGCAGATGAGAGTTCAGCGCTCCGGCTTTGATTATATGGAGATCAGGATTCACTTCCCGCTCTGCCCTGTGGCCCTGAAGAAGTCGCTTCCACTTTCTGAGCTCCGGGATTGTAACGGTCCCCAGTGCTGGTCCAGACAGGTGGCACGTCTGTGCCGGCCAGTGATGAGGCTCCTGCTCATGCCGCCGATAGCCTGGAAGTATTGGTGTTTGCTAGTACGAGTGGGAGAGAGTCTGAGTGGCGGGAAGGAGGCACAGAGATGGGTCTCGGGCATCAGGAAGATGCTCTCTTCTGGCCACAGTGTTGGGCTCTGGCCCCAGGCTCACCTGTGCTCAGCAAAGCAGAAGCCTGCACTGAGCGGGACCATCGTCCCTGGCAGGCCCCCATTGCTTCCTGAGTGAGCCTGTAGGGTGGGCCTCCCCTGCGTTGGGTGGCTGGGGACCTGTTCCTCCTGGCCCAGTGCCTGGTCTACCAGAGAGGAGTCCTGGGATCCCCATTTCTCCACTTCCTGTCGATGGAGCTGCTGTGTGAACGGCACTTGGACAGTGCCTGTTGCAGAGCGGGGGCCCTCGTCTCTCAGCGTTTGCCAGGGCCTTACAACGTAAAGGCCTGCTATTGGCACAAGCCCTCACAGTGGCTGCTGATTGGAGGGGACAGCTCTGCCTCTCCTAGAAGTGGCTCAAGGACCAGCCTTAGAGGCAGCTGCCTTGGGGTCACCCCAGAGGTGAACATTCCCGGCCCATCTCCTGCTACAAGGCAAGTCGGGGTGACTTCACCCCCAGGCCCAGCAAGAGAGATTGCAGGGCCCCATATGAGACGAAAATGCAGATCCCTTGTTCGAAAATCACAGTGTGTTTTAAGACAGCAACAGGGGAGGGTTAAACCAAGCCTGAGGCCCTGCTGAGCTTGGCCAGTGTCACAGCATGGCACAGGCCTGTGAAGCTACCCTGGCTGGCGAGGAGGGACGGGGCACGACCAAGCACCCCGCTGGTGTCCACCATGGCAGGGACCTGGGGGACCCTCGCCCACCCCCAGCTCGGGCCCAGCACGTCTTCCCAGGCCAGCTCAGCACCCAGGAAGCAGGCCCTCCATCCACATGGCCCCCCGACTCCAGGGCTGCCCCTCTCTTGCAGCATGGAGATGTGTGACCAGAGATACAACATCACCATGTGTCCGCTTTGCGACAAGACCTGCAGCTACTGGAAGATGAGCTCAGCCTGCGCCACGGCCCGGGCCAGCCACCTCTTCGACAACCCCGCCACCGTCTTCTTCTCCGTCTTCATGGCCCTCTGGGGTAAGCAGAGCCCCAGCTCGCTGGGATTTTGGGCAGCGTTGAGCCTGAGTGGTCCTGACCCTTCTGTCTGCCTTTGTGAATCATCTTCAGGCAGGCATGGCCAGGAAAAAACGAACGGGGAGGTGGAAGTGACCCCCGTTTTGTGTTCAGGTTACTGGGGTCTGCACTACGTCAGGAGACACACAGGGGTTCTCCTGACCCAGCCAAGATGACCTTAGGGAAAGCCTAGGAGGGACATTTTGCTCTGAGAAATCCTGACACCAGGGTGTGTTGTCCTGGGAAGGGTAGCTGACTTAGAGCAGAGAGGCCGGGCCCTGCCTCCATCCCTGCTGCTGCTGCTGCTGGTGACCGCCAGACCCTGCAGGAAGGCTGACCTCGGCCAGGCCCCGGGGGCATCGTCTCTCACCAGAGCCTTCAGCGTCCCTCCAGGCTTCCTCTGCCCAAGGAAGCTAAGGCCCAAGAGAGCTGGGAAGTGCCTGGGGTCACTCAGCTCCTGATTCCAAAACTGTGCCCTTTGCTGCTGGACTGCGCTGCCACCCAAACCTAAGGCGCCAGGCTCCTCCTCCAGGAAGGTTCCCTAACCCCAGTCCTACCTGATACCCGACTCCAGCTTTCAGGGCTTGGGCAGTTGGTAGGTGGCTGAATGCATTTCTGCAGAGGTTTTGGATCAGCAAGCAGGGCCGTTCTATCCTCTGTGGCCCCAGGTCACAGCCTCTGCCAGCTGGGCTTTGAGATGCCCCCAGTGAGCAGCCTGTTCTGAGCCATCCCAGACCCCATGCTGGGCGCTCGAGCCCCCATTTTTACCTGTGAGCTCCCACTTTGCAGGAAATGGGGTCAGGAAGCAAACCTGATGTGTCTGAAAGCAGCAGCATAGGTTTCTAGAGGGGCGGCATGAGCCAAGGCCCCATGGTGAGGGTGCGGGCTGCGGCAGGAGCTGCAGGTGGGAGGGCCGCAGAGCATCTGGGGAGGCCAGCAAGAACGTGCTGAGAAGAACTTGGCATGCTCACGCTGAGGAATCAGAACCCAGCGCCGTCGGCTGCTGTGTCCACGTTTTCCTGTCTCATCCTTGAGGCAGAGACCACAAGCCTAAGAGGGAGCTCGTGCAGGAATTAAGAGAAGGAGCGAGGGGTGCCATAGCGGGGCCCAACTCCCAGAAGGGCACCTACTAGAAAGTGCGGGAGAAGTGACTGGGAGCCTCGCTGCTCCCTCCCAGCCCTGGGGGCCCCTGACTTCATCCCACCTATTTCCTCTTTCCCTGCCAAAATTGCTGGGAGCAGTCTAGCCCCTATACTCCCTACTTCTCCAAAGAAAGGGCCTCCGATGGAAAAGAGATTATGCCAAAGGACTCCATACTTTGTTTCAGCTCTCATGCTGTTCCCATGAGTTGAGACACAGGCGGGCTTGACATCCCCACACTTGACCATGAGCAAAAGGCTTTTAAGGGCCCTGGAGAGAGCAGCCACCACATCCTTCCACCTCACGTTCTGCCCATCCCTGCCATCACCCTCCAGTCTGGGCGGGCACAGCTCTCTGAGAGCCCCTGGCTGGTGTCCTTCTCTGTGGTGGCCTCCAAAGGCACCCACTTTAGTGGGACTCTCGAAATGTCCAGTCATTCCTGGGCACACAGAACTGGGCCTCCCTCCTCCGCAGAGAAAGAAGCACGTGGTGTTTCATTTTCTCCTTCACCAATTGTAAGGACCACCTGCCCAGCGAGAGCCCATTCCCAGGGGATGGGAGCAGAGAGGTCGGAGGAGCCCGATGAAGGAAGAAGCCGCCTCAGGCTGTCATAATCCCATGCCCAGCCTAACACGCCGGGCGGTAATAGGTCTCTGTGATAAGCGCCTACTGCGGGTCTTGTTTTGGGAGCCCAAAGAGCTCCGTGACATTCTGGTCACTGCAGATTCCTTCTTCTGAATGCCAGTGTATCACCCGCTCGTGCCTTCCAGGTCACCTTGGCAGTGCCTCCTGGGCAGGCGTGGGTGCTGAGCCCATAGAGCAAGCCTCTCCCCCCAGGCCTCCCTCCTTTTGGGGTTCCTTCTGCAAGGCCATCCTTTGAGAGGGTGTGGGCAGCGCAGACCGGTCTACGCCCTGGTTGTCTGGGGAGAGACCCACAAGCGCCTGGTCCCTCATGTGTTGGACTGGGCAGCAGCCCTGTGGCCCCCAGGCCTATGGACCCTCCAAGAGTCGAGAGTCCAGGGCTGGCCAACCCACACCGGCTCCTGCTGGAGGCTCTAGGCCTGGGCCTGCTTCCCAGGCAGCAGCAGCGCTGGGCGTGTCTGTCCCCCATCGTTCTCAAACTGGGTCCCATAGGCCTCTGCAGGGCTCCGCACCCATCAAGAGGTTTACAGGCAAGGGAGGGATGCCCGGGTACACATGGAAACGGGCATCTCATCTCAGGTGCCCACGACCCTGAGAGTGAGCGTCTGAGACCATGCGCAGGCCCCTCCCTTGCCTCACCCTGGTCTCGGTCCTGATTTAAATGAACGCAGCCCCGTGGCCGACATCGAGTTTGGGACTTTTGCCTGGAGTAAGTTAGGGGAAGACGTGAGTTCCTCTGCTGAGGTTCGAAGGCTCAGCCAGGGCCCGAAAGCCTCTGTGAGCAAGGGTGGCCCGGGAGAGTCAGGAGAGGCCTTTCCTCGTGAGGTCAGGTGCCTGTCGCCAGCCGTCTGCACCTGCCTGGAAGCTGCCCTCTGACACCCTCAGCTCCACCACACAAGGGTGTGGGCCAAGCAGTGTGAGGGGTAGGTCTTGCGTTCCTGGGATTCCAGTCACAGGTGGGGACAGACACATGCAGAAATCAGCATAGCCTCGAGATAAATGCAGCCTTTCTCTTTGTGGACAAAGGTGTTTGACGCTCCAGAGGAAGTGGGGAATGGGAGCTGTGGGTCAGAAGCTCAACGTAGGGAGTGATTTCCAGCGGTGAGCAGGGAAATGCACTGAGCTGGGCGGGTCAGGGAGGGGGTGAGAGCCCCGTGCTGGGAAGCATTCAAGCTGAGGTTGGAGGACTGCTTGCTGGGGCTACTGCAGAGCATTGGGAGGTGATGTTTGTGGTATCTGTGTGTGATCCAAGGCCACGTGGCTTATGGGAAGAGCCCCAGGCCTGCAGCCCAGCTCTGGTTTTTAATTTGGGGACGAAAATGTCTTATAAATTTAGAATTATAAAAGTAGGGTCAGCAGCAGTCCGTCACTGCTAAAAAGCACGTGTCCAGCTCCCTGTTATTTATCACGCTGTATCCGAACAGCTGAGAGCCTGTCCCCAGTTCACAGAGGAGGAAAGCTGTCACCTTGTGCTCGGTGGCCTCTGTCCATTCGGTGACTTCCTCTCCTTCAGAAAAGAATAATAGCTGGCCAGGCTGTAATCCCAGCACTTTGGGAGGCCGAGGAGGGCAGGTCACCTGCGATCAGGAGTTCGTGAAACCCCAGCTCTACTAAAAATACAAAAATTAGCCGGGCACGGTGGCGGGCACCTGTAATTCCAGCTACTTGGGACTCTGAGGCTGCAGAATTGCTTGAACCCAGGAGACAGAGGTTGCAGTGAGCTGAGATTGTGCCATTGCACTCCAGCCTGGGCAAAAAGAGTGAAACTCTGTCTCAAAAAAAAAAAAAAAGAAAGAAAGAAAAGAATCACAGCGGAAAGTAAGTGAGCTTTGTTTTCTGCCAGGCACTGTGGTAGCATCTTCTGACTCACTCCCTAAAGGAGATAAGTAGCTTTATTTACCTCCTTGGCAATTCCCCAAGCTTACACCAGCTCAGAAGCAGGCCTTGAACCCCCGAATTCTGGTTTCTGAGCCCCAAATTCTTTTTCATAGCTTTTGTTTTAGTTGAAGTTATTTTTCTTTCCAGCTTTCATTTTAGGCTGAGGCGACATGTGCAGATCCGTCGCGTGGGTCCGTTGTGTGACGTGGGTTTGGTGTACAGGTTAGCTTGTCACCCAGATAATCAGCACCGTACCTGCTAGGTAGTTTTCCACCCCCCAGTAGGCCCCGGCGCCTCCTGTCCCCTTCTCTGTGTCCCTGTGTACTCAGTGTTTAGCTCCACTTAAAGGCGAGAACATGCGGCATTTGGTTTTCTGTTTCCGCGTTAGTTTTGCTCTCTCAGGGAAACGGTCTCTAGTCCATCCACGCTGCTGCACAGGGCGCGGTTTCCTTCCCTTTATGGTTGCGCAGGATTCCATGATCTCTGTGGACCACACCATTTTCTTCTTCTTCTTTTGAGACAGTGTCTCTCTGTCATCCAGGCTGGAGGGCAGTGGTGCCATCTCGGCTCACTGCAACCTCCACCTCCCATATTCAGGCAACTCTCCTGCCTCAACCTCCCGAGCAGCTGGGATGACAGGCGCCCGCCACCGTGCCTGGCTAATTTTTATATTTTTAGTAGAGTTGGGGTTTCACCATGTTGGCTGGGCTGGTCTTGAACTCCTGACCTCAGGTGATCTGCCCACCTCAGCCTCCCAAAGTGCTGGGATTACAGGAATGAGCCACTGCACCCGGCCTGGACCAAATATTCTTCACCCAGTCCACCACTGACGGGCATCTGTGTGGAGTCCATCTCTCTGCTCTTGTAAATGGAGCTGCGATAACATATCATGCACGTCTTTTTGTTTTGTGTTTTGTTTTTTTTCTTGTCTTGTTTTGTTTGAGACGGAGATTCTACTCTGTTGCCCAGGCTGGAGTGCAATGGCACGATCTCAGCTCACCGCAACCTCCGCCTCCCGGGTTCAAGCGATTCTCCTGCCTCAGCTTCCCGAGTAGCTGGGATTACAGGTGCCCACCACCACGCCCGGCTGATTTTGTATTTTTAGTAGACACAGGGTTTCTCCATGTTGGTCAGGCTGGTCTTGAACTCCTGACCTCAGGTGATCCACCCACCTCAGCCTCCCAAAGTGCTGGGATTACAGGTGTGAGCCAAGGCACCCGGCCACATGTGTCTTTATGGTAGAACAGTTGATATTCCTTTGGGCACATACCCAGTAATGGGATTGCTGAGTTAAATGGTACTTC